TGATATGGGAAGATACATTAAATGAAAAAGATATAAGTATAGTATGATTCCACTTTGGTTTAAAATTATGTGATAAGCGTGTGTGGAGTGTGTGTGTATGTGTGTGTGTGTATATACAGATCAATAAAGACTCCTAGGTTATACTCCAACATACTAATAATAGTGATTATTTCTGATTGGTTCATTTATATGCAATTTTTATTCTTTTTGCTTTTCTGTTTTTAAGTTTTCTGCATGAATATGTATTATTTCTGCAGTAAGGAAAAAAGTTACTTAAAAGAAGTACACAATGTACAATGAACTAAAATCCCCAAAACATGAAGATATAATCTGGCCAAAGAGAAGAAATCCCTCAGCTTGTTTACAAAGTAAATGATTCAATACACAGATGTGCTCATTAGCTTCCTGGACACTCCCTGATTTCACGTGGTTTTCTGCCACAAGCTCACGTGAAACTTAGAAAAGTATTTAGCTGTGAGCACAAAAAAAGATGGAAAAAAATAAGGCAAACTCAAACTTGGGAATCCTAAAAAATACAAGATAATTTTCTTCTTATATTTCTTTTTTAAAGTAGACCAGAAATTAAACCTGTTCTGACAATCACAATAAACTTCAAAAGTGATTTGAATGCTTTTACAAGGGAAGAGTGCTCTGAAAAGATTTTAATGCAATATTCTGTCTTTTTGAAAGGTCTTCAAAAAGATTTTATTAGGCAATAATTTGGTTTCAGTTTATTAGATTACTATAATTGTACAATGTATCTTCTGAGCGTTTTATTAACTATGGCATGTAAAAGTCTGCCCATTTTAATAACATTTATTACAAATAAATACCTTTTAATCTTTGTATTTTTTTCCTAACCTCTTCACTGAACACACTTTCCCAGCAGAAACCGGGTCCTTCTAAGATTAATTTTTGCTAATAATCTTTAAAAGGGCAAAACTGTGTAAGGCAATTCTAGATGAAAAGTTCAGTAAACAGTCTTACTCACAACAGATCAGAATCTAAGACATCTACGATAAATATGTCTCCAACCACTCATCAGGTTGTCAGTCAATGTGGTATGTTAAACATACAACTGACCTCCTTGGGTCCTCCCCTACCATATATTAGTTCCCCTCAACAAAACAAAACAAAGATTCTTCTTGACTTCTTTACGCTAACATGTTGTCAAGGCATTTGTCATAGCATTATCAGTTCAGGCTCTTATTTGCTTCTGCCTGGGTTATTTTTATAGACTCCTAATTTGCCTCCTCATTTCCAATCGATCCCCATTTGAATCCAAAGAGCATCAGCCCACCAGCCAGCTTAAACACCCCTTTGATCACATTGCACATTACAGCCTAGTGTAAGAATCTTAGATTGACTTTTATCCTATGAACAGTGGAAAGCAAATTCTTTATAATGGCATTCAAAGTCTTTACCTTCCGCTAGAAGTTTAATGTGAACTCTCTGTAATCAGGCTAATGTATCACCAACTCCTATCGATGACTTGCTCAAACTGTCCCCACCATCCTCACTTCCTTGTCAATGCAAATTCATCCTCCCAGAACGTGCAACTGAAAAGCTGATGTGATTTTCAGTAACCGCTTACAATACAGTTTTAAATAAATTATTACCTTCAGAACTTCAACAACACTCACATATTGTCTGACCCACTGATTAGGCACTAACTCATACTGTCTCCTACTCTCAAGCAATTATACATGTATGATGTAATTTCATTAAGCAGAGGTAATTCCCTTATGGGCCTTTATATTTGTTGTACTTCCCACAGGTCCTGACAGCTAAAAACTTGGTAAATGCTCAATTAATATTGGTAAACAATGAATTATCTGCATCTTTAGTTTCTGCACAAAACCAAATATATTTATAATTTGCTATGTACCTCTAAGGCTTTTCTTTGATAAAATGAATGATTATTTTACGTAGGTTCATGCATCAGGGGGTCCCCAAAACCACCCCTAGGTTCAGTGACCCATTAGGAGGACTCACAGGACTCAGTGTATAGTCATACTCATGTCTCAGATGTATACAAATCAGAATCAGCCAAGGGCAAAGGAGCAGGGAACAAAGTCCTGAGGAACCACGTGCAAGCTTCCCAGAGTCCTTTCCCAGTGGAGTCACCCAGAACACAATTTCTCCAGCATCAAATTATGACAACACATGTTGTCTACCAGGGAAACTCATTAGAGATGCAGAACCTAAGGTGTTTTTTTTTTTTCCTCTCTCTCTCTCTCTCTCTCTCTTTTTTTTTTTTTTATGGCTGGCCATATACACCCCTTGCCTAGCACAGCCCAAAAGTCCAGACTCCCAGAAAGCACTCAGCACAAACCACACTGTTTGTAGTCTAGGCACAATGAGTCACTCTAAAGTTTCATGTCAGTGTGGGCAACTGCTGAACATTCCCAGATGCCAGCAAAAACACTGCAAGCGGGCACTTCTAAGGAAAGCAGTCTTGGGCCTGCTAAGTTAACTCTTCCTATGTAGTTCATTTAATATTTTCATGGGAGAAATGTTAAGTGTTAACTATATTTGATTTATCAGAGGTACAAGGTGATTTTTTAAAAAAAATTAAAATCTAGCATTTATTTTGAGATGCACTGCCTAGATTGGTACCCAAGAATGAAAAGCTAGGCAATTTTTAAGTAATTCACATCCTTTAGGTACTTCTAGTTTTCTTTCTTTTTTCTTCCAAAACTAGGTATCTTTTTCAAATCAACACTTTCATAGGTGCCAGGAGGAAAGAATTAAGTATAACATGTAAAGGAAACAAACCCTCTCAGGCATGGTCCTTGTCTTTTCTTTACGTGTCAGCTGGGTGCCAGAGCGCTGCGGTAGCTGTTTTAGGTACACCGTCTTACTAAATCCTCTCAACACCCCCATCAGCCAGTGATGGTTCCTGTTTTATAGATGGAAGCTTTGCGAGGCTAAGTAATCCGCCCAGGGTTACCACGGTGGAGAAAGGGTTTAGGCTCAGATCTGCCTCATTCCAAACTCTTGCTCTTAGCTTTACACCAACTACCTCTACCTAACAAGGCACAGATTTCTTACTGTGACTCATTTCCCTCAAACAATACAGGGATTGTTTGGTTGGTTACACAGAGCACCATTCTTAACCTAACTTTGATTAAAGTCACATTTTAGTTTGAAGAGAAAAGGGTAAATTTAATCCAGGATACTCTGCTTTTTCCTTTCCAACCATGCAAACTCCAAGTCAAATTACACCCTTTGCTTGTTAAAGCCATTAGGAAGCTCCCTATTCAGCACAGCACACAATTTTCTCCTTTATGTGACATATATCTGATTGAAATTAGATAGACCTGTATTTGAATTTTGGCATTTCGCTTACCAGCTGTGGGGACCTTGGAACAGTTACACTGAGTCTCAGTTTATTCATCTACAAAACGGGGAGCCCTACCTCATAGGCTTGCTGTAAGAATTAAATAAGTTAATATACTTGAAGGGTTTAGCCTACACACATTTGCTGAATAAATGATTCCTGCAACTGATTTGTTAGAAGCAAGCCAAACCAATCTGAGGGAGAAAGGAGGTAGTAGGGAAGTACCCTGACCACCAGGTGTCACCACTAGCCCAGAAAAGTTGGTCTAACGGCCAGAAGTGAGGGGTGGGACTCTGCGGCAGGACAGCGTAAGACTGTTCTTTGCATCTATCCAACGTTCAAGAATTGGCTTTGGCTTTCAACACCCTAAGAGCTGGTACGATATTTGTTGCACCATTCTCAGCTACACTGTTCTTTTACCACTGTGTTGAAAATGTCTGTAGTAATAACTACTTAGATAAATAGCCACAGATTTGTCATCATAGTTTAATCGTTAAAACTATCCTCAGACACCATTTTTAAATTCTGAGACTCAGTATTGCTTCATATCTCCTTTGCTTTGGTCAACTAAACATTTATATTTTCTGGATTCCATAAGCTTCAATACTGCCACCGCGGACAATTTTCCGGTCCCAGTTCTACAACCCACGGGCATTATTTCCTTTACATTATTAATAGGTGTGACAAAAGGAAAGTAGAATATTTTTTCAGGGTAAAAATAAAGTCCACTGAAAAGTACATTTCAGCAAAAAAAGCATTAGCCATGTGCCTTATTCCTTGATCTCAGAAACTTAAAAGTTCACTATTAAAAATTCTGCAAATCTATTTTCTTACGGAACATTTACCCTAGGGTAGATCTGTTAATCTACAAAAAGCCCTGAAGTGACTCCAAGAAACAGCACCACTCCTGCCTTCATTCTCAACCTGCCAACGACTCTCCTTGAGAGTGCCTAGGGGCTCATTTCAAAATGAGGGCTGGGTCCGGGCTCTCTTTCTGGTTCTAAGTCCTCCACACTGAGAGCCACTAGCGGCCACTTCAAGACGTGTAATTCAGTGAGCGTTGGGGCGTAACTGGACACGCAGCTCTGAGTGGAGGCACAGACTTCTGTCCCGCCTGCCAGGGAACAACTGACTCAAGTCAAGCCTGACCAGGCCTACCCCGGCCTCATCCTAGGCTCCCGAGCCCCCGGGAACAGGGAGGAAAAGAGCTAAGCACAGGCTTCTGTTCAGAGTGGGCGCTCTTGGAACTCGAGCAGTTTGGGTTATTTTTGTTTTAACAAGAGCTCGAATTCCACTTCGCATTTCACAAATATGGAAAGGTCTGAAAAGAAACCAGAAGCATCCTCTCCTGACCATCGCTCCCATTCCTAGCCAATTTACGAGGGAAGAGCCGATATTAGGAACCATCTGGAATCAGGAGCGCAGGTGGCAAACCCAGCCGAGAAGAACCCATTTGCGAAGCACTTTGTGCAGATCGATACATTACTGACCGATTTCAGACTGGTCCCTAGAGAAAGAAGAGCTCACGAGGCTGGCCGCCCTCCTGGAGCAAATGGGCCACGGAAAGAGATGCTGCTCATCCAACAAGCCCCTGCCGGGCAGGCGAGGGCGCAGCTGCTTGGAAGCAGCGAGCGGCGCGGCGCGGCGGGCGGCTTACCTGGGGGACTCGGCGGTGAAGCTGCCGCCGTCCAGCAGCCGCATCTTGCAGAAGAGGACCCCGTTGACGAAGGGCACCGAGGAGAGCTCCTCGAGCTCGAAGTCCACCTTAAACTTAAACTTCTTCTTCTTCATCATCATGAGAGCC